GGCTGGATTCCCCTCACGGCTGGGTCCCCTCATGGCTGGATTCCCCTCACGGCCGGATTCCCTTCACGGCCGGGTCCCCCCATGGCTGGATTCCCCTCATGGCTGGATTCCCCTCATGGCCGGGTCCCCTCATGGCTGGATTCCCCTCATGGCTGGATTCCCCTCATGGCTGGATTCCCCTCACGGCCGGGTCCCCTCATGGCTGGATTCCCCTCACGGCCGGATTCCCTTCACGGCCGGGTCCCCTCATGGCTGGATTCCCCTCACGGCCGGGTCCCCCCATGGCTGGATTCCCCTCATGGCTGGATTCCCCTCATGGCCGGGTCCCCTCATGGCTGGATTCCCCTCACGGCCGCTCCCCTCACGGCTGGATTCCCCTCATGGCTGGATTCCCCTCATGGCTGGATTCCCCTCATGGCTGGATTCCCCTCACGGCCGGGTCCCCCCATGGCTGGATTCCCCTCATGGCTGGATTCCCCTCACGGCCGCTCCCCTCACGGCCGGGTCCCCTCATGGCTGGATTCCCCTCACGGCCGGGTCCCCTCATGGCTGGATTCCCCTCATGGCTGGATTCCCCTCACGGCCGCTCCCCTCACGGCCGGGTCCCCGGGACTGATGGCCCCGTTCGAGGACAGCGGCAGCACCGCCACCCCGGTCTGGGGCACCAGGAGTCAGGAGTAGGTGGCTGTTTATGGGACATGGTGTTTAGAATTAAGAATTTCCTTTTAAAATCTATTCCAGCGTGGAAGGTACTGCCCAAGTGATGTGCCACACCATGCCAAAGGACAGGTGGCGTCCGGTGGAGTTCTTCGCATTCCTGTGGTTATTGTAAAGTATCTTACACACACACAAAAAAAATGCCATCAAATCCCCCACATTTTTAATGGTTATAGTAATGGTGACACGTTATTGAAGGAAATTTATATCCAGCACCTGTCTCCCACTTGCCTCTGGTACTCCAGCTATTACCTCATATATATTTTATTATCTGTTCCGATAGCAGGTTCACAACAAATGGAAAATATGTACAGTGATAAGCACAGGAAGCTGCAATTTTACACCTACAAGCTAAGATGAAAGCAAGATGTTTGTTCTGCTCTTGGTGAAAAACAAGAACACAAATATTTCTGAAATGAGTTTTCCAAATGAGCTTTCCTGTTTCAAATTATTCGTTTTTCTAACAAAAAAAATATTTTTAAAAACACATTGAATTAAAGGTATTGAATTAATTGCTTTATTATTTGCCAGTAGTAATGGAAAGAAAACTGTTTTGAGGAGGATATGCCTCTATTTGATATTACTTACGATACTTACATGAATCTTTGAAGCAGTCATGAGTTTTAAGTATGTTTGAAAAAGCAAGAAACCAAAATTGATTGAGGATGATGGTACGCCATAAATACTCCCTGGTTCAAGGAATTTCAAAATTTAATAAAATAGATGGTGCACTTTTCAATCTTTTTAAAACAAACTGAGTTAAGTCCAGGAGATTAAAATTCTTCAAGGAATGTTTCTTCAGTTGTGTTTGTGCAGCCCCTTCCCAGCTGCTTGAGAAACACCCTGGGAATTCCTCTTGGCTCCAGCATGTAAGCTGATTCACGGCAAGGAACACAGGAGGGAGAAACCCCAGCTTATCAGAAAGAAGGAAAAAGTGCAGGTGAAGAACCAGAGAGGGAGGGTCGCTTGAACTTTGTGCTTCCCTGTTGCACTCCTGGCTGGCTGCCAGCTCTCCTCTCCTTGGAGAACTGGAATCGGCTCCTCAGGGGTGAGATTCACCTGGAGCGAGCTGCACCTCGTCCTCCTGCCTCCTAAAAACGCTGCTATCATCGTTACTCTCAAAAGTGCTCTCCAGGAGGCATTTTATCTTCATGAAATGAGATTTATTAAGTTAGGAGCAATACAAGAATCAGGTATTGTTGACACAACTTGGTTTTCTTGACTCATAAAAGTAAATTTTCTACTTTACTGATGGGAAAGTGTGATGTTTTCTGTTCCCACGCTACTCCTCTAAAATTCATGGTGTTGTTTTTGTTTTCACTCTTATACACTTGGGAAGCTATGAAATACCCTTCTCAATGTAGACCAAAACCTAAAGCAAAATGACCAAATTTTAGGTGCTCCCCAAAGAGGAGCCCAAGGGATTGGCCATCCCAGAGTCTGGAACTGCACAGTAAAACACTGCCAGTGATGGCAAGAATCCCCTCGCTTTTTCCTTAGAGCACAGGCAAGGATGGAGCCTTCCTAGTGCTGGCAAATTAAGCTGTTTTAAAAAAGAACTGTAGGAGAATCTCACAATGAAAGATAGAGCAGTAATCATCTGCAAATTCCCTCTTGTCCTAAAGGTCGGGAAGAACATGCTCCACATGCTCCACAGCTGCTCTGTAACCACTGAGAGAAATTAATCCAGAATCCCCCTGTGAGTAACGTGAGGCTGTGCCAGGGTCTGCTCTCAGACTGTGCTTGTGCCAGAGGAGAATATCTGGATCTGTGTGAAATGGAGAAGGTGTGATGGGCAAGGGACGTCAGCCCAGCGCTCTGAACAGGAAATCGGAAATCCACGCTTCATTCCCAGTCCCAGCCTGGCAGAAACTGGAGCCAAAGGGCAAACTGTGACTCGGAGCCCGTGCCCTGCTGCATCCCGGCTCCAAAGACTTCGTGGGAGCAGCTGGGGAAGTCCAAGAGAGGTTCCTCATCTGGAAACTCGGCAAGGCCAGGTTTCCTCGATTTAATTCCTTTTAATTCCTTGTAACTGTGGCAGGCACAGGCAGAGGAGGCCACTCAGGCGGGGCTCCGTGAGTGCCCCTTTCACCTCTGCACCCCCCCCAGTGACTGAAGTTACAGCGCAGCTGCCTTAACCCCCCCCGTCCCGCTCAGCACTCAGACCCAGCTCAGTGCCCCC